ACAAGTCATTATAAGTGAATGTCACTAATGACATCTTGTCTATTCTTCCTTCTCCTACCTGGAATGAACTGTTAAGTCCAGAGAACTGCTGCAGAGCTAACAACAATTACAGGAGAATTACAAATATTATGAACAAAAAAAACCCCAATTCAAACTGAAGTAGCTACCCACTCTTGCTTCCAGCCCAAACAATCTGCTGCCTGACTGGAGTAAGTGGTATAAAATACAACAGTGACTCAGTCAAAGTGGGGTGGGAAGTAGGAGGAAAGGCTCTGGCATAAGCACTCAAAACCATTTTGGAGAAGGATTATTATTGATGGCAGTGCTCAACTCCCTTTGTCTAACATCTCCTGACTGACTAACTAACAAATACAAGATAAAATGAAATAACTGCCTGCCAAATATGCACAGCTGTAGGCCCACCTCTAATAATCCATCTGCAGTGCAAGGCATCAGCCAACTTTTTTTGTCATTTAGGAGGGATTTAGGAGTGGCATTTAATGCAGTCTTTCCCAGGGGAACAGGGATGGTCGAAGGATCCCAGGAAAAAAACAAAAGAAAATCCCACTTACCTCCGGCAGGGACCGAAGGACGCGTGGCCAAACCACCGGAACGATTTGTCAGCCGTACCTATATTCAGCTGAAGCAAGGTGACGTCAGCAAGAGACACCACCCGGAGGGGATAAAAGACGGCCCCGGGAAGGCAGAAGGGGAGGGGCAAGGAGACAGAGGCTCGGGAGCAACGCCTGAGACTCGAGGAGTGCTGTGGCTGTGGCAGCGGCAGGAGCAGCACTGTCCCGGCCAAGAAGGTGGGGGTGGAGCTGGCTCAAGCAGGCAAGCCGGCAGTAAAGGAACCGGCGAAGGCTCAGGAAGCAGAGCCAGCTGGGGAGTCAACGACGACTCAAGCCGGAGAACCAGCAAAGGAACTGGCGAAGGCTCGGGAAGCAGAGCCAGCTGAGGAGTCAATGACGACTCAAGCCAGAGAACCAGCAAAGGAACCGGCAAAGGCTCAGGAAGCAGAGCCAGCTGGGGAGCTGACGAGGACTCAAGGAGGAGAGCCAGCAGCAGAACCGACGTAGGCTCAGTAAGGCGAACCGGTGGCGGAGTCAGCGAGGGTTCTGATAGCGAGGTTGGCTGGGAGGTAGACTGGCTAGCCAGCTGGCCTCCTGACACGGAAGGCTATTGAAGGACTATTATTGGATGAGACCCCTAGGAGGGGACAAGCTGCTAGATTAAAGGGGAACTCTGGGCCAACAGGGACCCACTTGTGGCTAGCAATCACGGTGAGGGGGATTACACACCACTCGTGGTGCAGGTAGGATGCAGACTGAGCGCGTGGATAGTTGAAGCTAAGGCAGAGGGCCTCGGGGCCTGGGTAGCACAGACAAAGACCTGGAGTCACTGGCGGAGTGGCTGGTGGGCCAGAAGAAATCGGGATAGGGACCAAAGAAACCCTGAGGGGCTTGAGGCCCTGTGGCTCAAAGACCCACAACGGAAAGGTGGCGAATGGCCAGGGTGTAGGGGAGGTCAGAGCCCTGTGAGTGCCCGCCCCATGGTGTGGCTGCCCTGAAGGCTACCCTTAGGGAGGACCCCTCCACTGAAGCTAACATCAAAGTCATAGCAGGCGAGAAAAGGGGAACCCCAAACATCCACCAGGGTAGCCTCAGGGGTCCCACCCCAGACCTTGGCCCCAGACGATCTTTGAGTTGGGCCAGGGCAGCTAGGGAGCACCTCTTAGATAGGAGGCGGGCACACAGTCCACGAGGAAAAGAGCACCCACGGCACTTTAGAAAACCACTGAATACAAGACAATGGCAACCATTTTAGAACATAGATTCTTGGATAGTATAACTGACTGGATGTCACACCCAGTGTCTACAGTGATTAATTAGTAAACTTTAATATGATACTCAGAAGAGTGATGATGAATTCAGGACAGCACTACGTTGCAACCCAGATTCGTGAAGGGCTTTCTTAAAAATAAACAATGAACTACAATTCGTATCAATCTCCTCCTTTCTAAATCAATAAAGAAAAAGAGGAACAAATTCTGCATTGACTTACAACAACCCATGCAAGTTCCCTGATTATAGTGGGTTTGAATGGAGTCAGGATCAGTATAGAATTTGACCCAATATGTTTTTCCTTTTCATTGCCTGCTTTTGATTACTGTTGTTTGTTTATTTTCTTCCCCTTCTTCTCATGGCAGAGGACAATAAAAGCCAGTTCCACTTGAAAGACATGACTCCTCTAGACTGCCAAACAGTTGATCTAAACTTCATAAGTTTTGAGAAGAGCAGATGATCTGCTTTGCCTGGAGCTATTTTGATAGCAATCTGAAGAATCAAGAGAGACCTCACTATAACTATTAATAAATTGTTCTCTCAACTGTGTTGCTGGTTCTAGTGCAGAACTAAGCTCAAATACCAAAGTTGTTATTATCATTACTAAAACTGGATAAAGATTTTGAACGGGACCATTTTTCATTGGGCAATGCAGTTTTATTCAAATTGATTTGTACCGTGGGAACTTGTTGACTGTGCTGATCTTTTCTTTCTTTCTTTTTTTTTTGGATGGAGAAAAAGTCAAAAGAAACCAAAGTTAGACTTTTTTGTTACATTTAAACAATGTCAAATCAATTCATTTTGAAAGGTAAAAACAGAGGTTTGATTGTTGTGTTTTAATTAATTTGTTGATATTTAGAATGCATTAAAGTATTGAATTTAATCTATTTTTCATGTTATTTAATACTGCCTGAAATACATTATAGTGTTTGACATTCTGAAAGGACAATGTCTAATTGGTCCCATATAAATATTTTTCAGAATGTCTGTTACATGGAAAATGTTGAAGTTTTGCCTTTTAATTCTGTATCAGAATTAAAACAAATTTAGAATATCCCACAAAAAAGAAATTATTTTTCCAGCCAACTGTATTCACTATATATTCTTCCATAATATTGTCTTAAAAACAGTTCAAGACAAGAGTGACTGCTATATTGTGAAGCAGAACACCAAGCAACAAATTATGAGTTAATTAGCAGTGCTCTTCTACTTAGGAAGTTTGAAGGAGTTTCAGTTGATTAAGAGGATTGCAATTTGGTGTTTTAAATTCATTTGATTATAAAGTTTCCAATCTTGGAGTACATTTTTGGTAAGTTACTTAAAAATCCAAAGCTTATCCTTCTCCTTTTTAAAATATGTAATTTAAATTTTTATGTTAAAAATGGTTTAAAATAGCTTTAACATGAACGAAACCTGAAAAAATGGTAGGATTTTCTAGGGCAAATATGCATATAATTTAATTTTCTTTAAATGACTTGTCACTTACATTTACTCTGTTTACTTAATTTTACTAACATTTGTTCATTATAACCTCCATGAAGAAGCATCTTGTATAGCTAAATCCTTGCCTTCAGCAACTACTTGAAATTATTCCCAATCTTTCCACTGCATTTTTATTTGACTTTTAATTAATATGTATTAGCTGATTTTACTGCTCCCATGGCTGTTGAAGACTGCTATTATTGTATATCAACCAGCTTTGGAACAAATTCTCTAAATATTGTACTCCTAGAAACAGGAGAACCTGCATGCTAGAAAGGATTCTGCATCAGTCAAATTCTCTTCTTTCCTTGTTTTAATGTTATTGACTAATTTCCAAACTCCTTCAGGCAATAAAGGCACAATCAGGGCAAAGAAAGAATAAATCAAACAAAAAATTAAACCTTTTCAGTGTTAGACACTTTACACCAATACATTAAAATGATGAGATGAACACGTTTAAAACCTTAAAATAGAACAAATGTCTTTAGCCAGCCCAACACAGCCTTAAATTCCCAAATTCAAAATAGTTTGGAGAAGCCTCTGTTGAACTCTCAAGGTAATAAGCACTATGCTGAGTAGTGAATGTCACCAAAATCAGGTTCCAAGTGAATTTTATTACATCACTGGACATATTCAAAAATCACAGTTAATTAAAAAAAATGTTCCATTATATGAGAGAATGTATCTGCTTTCACTTCCATTAATAAAATACAAATAGCTATTCATATTAGCATGTTTAGTATTAAGCTTATGAAAGTAAAAAAACTCCAGTCGTGTGATTCATTGAATAATTGCTAATGTCATAAAAGTATCACATCATACCATGGGAGTTTATTTCTGCTCTATCTAGTTTTCTGTATCACATTTATAACATTTTTACCACTCGCCTGTGAGATGGAAAATATTATTTTCATATCCTTTTTACAGATGTGGGAATCTTGCTACAGAATCTCATCACAGAATCAAGTTCTCACGAGCCTTGGTCTATGCCTTAATAACCAATCCCCATGGCTACCCTTTGCTTCAATCGAAACATGTCTTCTGCTACCTTTAGCAGGTAAGGCAACATTGCTAGATGCCAAAGCTACCTCGACTCATTCACTATGCAGTAGAGGGCAGTAAAGGGTGGGGCCCTTTGCAGAAAAGTATTTTGTGATTAACTATTGATTTCTCTATCAAATAATGTTTCTTTGTGCCCATACGCTTTATCTGAAATCACCTAGTGACCCATGATATCTTTGCATCATATTTATTTATGGAACAGGAGCGAAATGTATCAACAGTGGCCACCAAATCCATGCATGTTTAAACAATGCTGTATTTTCAAAAGAAAAACAGAGAACACCTAAATAGATTCTAAAAATAGTTACTTTATATTCTGAAAATATTTTCTAAAAATTCTAGTGAGAATGATGGTGCCTCCAACTGTCAATATAAAAATTAATTGTAGTAATGTACTCAAAATACTCCAACACAGCACGAAGCAAAGGAAACCATAAGAAAATATGTATTTCATTAAAATGATATGAAATTATTGGCCATGTTGTTTCAGGTCTGTGAAACAAACTATGTCTGATTTTCATGAAGGAAGTTGTCTCACTGGCATTCACAACTCATGCACAGAACAACATGGCAGAAAGCATGTCTCTGCTGATGCACAAAGAAGTTACTTACAGGTAATAAGTGTAGGAGTGATAGCTTCTTCTGCCATGATGGTGGAAGGATTTAGGCAGTGGTGGAAAAGATGAAATGGAAGGAAAGAAAAGCCAAATATTAATGTATGAAAAATCAAGATGAACTGAGACCAGAACTGGTGACACAAATGAAAGGTAGCAAGAATGCATCTCAGGCATATCATGCAACATATTCGGAATGGACAGATGACACATCCAATCTTCATAAAACTCTAAGCAGAAACTCACTGGGATGTTAAATTATAGATGGTTTAAAACATGTCTAATAGCAAAGTAGTATATAATTAGACATGTAGTATATGTAACTATACAGTATGTACAGAAATACATAAATATTCACATGTAAGGTATAAAAATATGCTTTTATTTTACATTTTAAATGGTTTGGGAAGAGGGGAATGGCTTCCCTAATGTGTTAGCCAGAATTTTAGGAATAAAATCTTTCAGAATGCTTATAAAGTGGCCTCCCTTCCTGCCAGTGCACTATGAAGTTTTTTTGGATGTCTTCTCTTGTTGCTTTACCTACTTGGACATGTTAAAAAGTAGCTTAGCTGACCACAGAGACTAGTAAACTAAAATGTCCCCTAAAACATATTTCCAGAAGTCCAAACTGTCAAACAGAATCATGGATCAGTTTTTCATTGGCTTTTCACTGCAGAAGAAAACCAAACTAACTTACTTGTCTTTTTGTCTCTGAATTGTTTTTATAAAACTTGCTTATGTATTTCATATGGAGGGAAATCCCATGCAAATTCCAATTAAAAGGAATAAAAACTGAAAGTGGGGCTTACTGCTGGTGCAGATAGACTTTATCCCCATTCTGTCAGCAGAAGGAACAACCATTCCTACCCTTTTATTGTTTTTGATTATAGAATTAGTAGGCTCTTTGGATCCCCTGCTTCTCTGTCCATACAAGTGTGGATCCAGTGACATCCCCAGCTCACCTCCACCCCAGCAGTCTCATAGTTCATAGTAGGTAGGGCTGGAAGGGACCTGAGCAGATCATTAAGTCCAACCACCTGCCATGGGCAGGAAAGAATGCTGGGGTCAAACGACCCCGGGTAGGTGATTATCTAGCCTCCTCTTGAAGACCCCCAGAGTAGGAGCCAGCACCACTTCCCTTGGAAGTTGATTCCAGATCCTAGCCGCCCTGACTGTGAAGTAGTGCCTCCTGATATCTAGCCTGAATCTACTCTCTGTCAACTTATGGCCATTATTCCTCATTACTCCCGGTAGTGCTCGGGAGAACAGGGACTCTCCCATAGCCTGCTGGTCCCCCTTGGCTAGTTTGTAGACAGCCACCAGATCCCCTCTCAGCCTTCTCTTGTGGAGGCTGAACAGGTTCAGGTCCCGTAGCTTCCGCTCATAGGGCCTGCCTTGCTGCCCCCTGATCATGCAAGTGGCCCTCCTCTGGACCCTCTTCATGCTATTCACATCTCTCCTGAAGTGTGGAGCCCAGAACTGGATGCAGTACTCCAACCGCGGCTTGACCAGTGTTGCATAGAGGGAGAGGATCACCTCCTTGGACCTGTTCGTGATGCACATTCTCCTTCATGATAGCACATTCAAAGCCAGTGAGGAACACCACCTGCAATGTGCAAAGTGCATAGGCTCTCTAGCCCATCTGCTCTGCCTAGACCTCTTCCCTCCCCACCTTGAGGCAGAATCCTGAATGTTGGCAGATGCAGCCTGCAAAAAGGGGTGATTTTCACCCTAAATAAATTCTAACTACTGATTCTAATTGGAAAAAAGCTTACTATCCTAAACATAGCTACAGATAATGTTCATGTGGTGGTAAGATGAAAGGCAGAAATAAACTATGCACGTATTTGCAATTTTTACAACACATACATATATCTCTTTAACTATGGGAAAAACCATGTAAACAGGCCTTGCAAAGGATGCTAACTATGTTAACTTGCCTCTAGCTACATGCTGCAGGCACTTTTCTCTTTGAAAACTAGGCTTTCATCAAATTTTCTCTCATCTTCTTTGTTTGAGGATGCCTTTAGAAATATTTCTCAATTTTTATTCCCATTTTTTCTGATTCTAGCAGCATTGTTTAAACACAAGAAGCCAAGTACTGAATATTTAATCACATGTGGCACATTTGCTAAACGCACACCTGTTAAAATTCAGTTTAAAATGACAGCTAAGAATAGAGTAGCAGGAAGGCTGTGGATACAATCATGCATTTCTTCCTCAGGTACATCTCCTAATATATTTGGTGCTTGAATAAGAAGAGTGAGACTGGGCCTTATCAAAAATAGTTCTGTTTACCCATATTGCGATGGCAGAGGGGTGTTTTGTATGTGGTGTAATCATGATTACCCCTTTTTTCTCTTTTAAAAAATTACTAATTCTTTGGTTCTTATTTAGAATCTCATGATACTGCAAACCCTATTCCTTGCCATATGTTGCCATGACAGGGATTTAATGTAATTACTACAAATGTTCCCATACTTCTAAAAGATGCATAGTAATTTTAGAAACAACAATAAATATAATTAATCAGTGAAGCACTGCTGGTACTTCCATACAAAATTCTGCCAAACATGTTATTGACATAAATTATTCTGTACATGAAATAGTTGAAAATTCAGGTGCTTTAATTTGTGTGAATACATCAAATTACGATTTGATAAAATAGGAGAAAAATTAAATGTCTCAAGCTCAGGTAATTTTTATATTAAGTTCTTATAATACAATCTTGAGGTTTTACACATGACTATCCTTGAAAATTAGATGCTGTTGCTTTTTTTATTCCAAGTAACATGAAGCACCAAGCAGGGAAAACACCCAGAAACCTTAAAGAAACAAAATGCTAAGACTTATGAAAACATTAATGGTGCCCAACCTTTTGGTTTCCCAGGCCAGATGGGTGGCGTGCGGCCAGATCCCTTGCTGGGTCATGCATGGGGTTGGGCCCTGCATGTCCACTTTCACCCTGGCCCAGCCCCATGCTACATTGGCTTGGCCCTATGCACTCGGATTGGACCTTGTGCATCCCAGCCCAAACCCGCACACCCTGGCTAGCCCAGTGACACATGGATCAAGCCCTGCACTGCCCTGGCCCTGCGAGTCCAGTCTAGTGTGCAGGGTCATGCTGCCTCACCCACAGGTCCAGAACTTTGACTGCAGTGCAGTAGCAATAAATGCTGCCACTTTTTGGGGCCTGTGGGGAGCCTGGTGGGCTAGATGGCATAGCTCCAAGTGCCAGATCTGGCCTGCAGATTGCTGGCTGAGTGCTCCATTTTGAAGCAATTCCTTAAATATCTGCACCCTCCAGCAAAGCACAGTAGGGGACTGCTTGGCCCTCTATCTTCCCATGGCAGGGGTAGGGAGTGCAGGTGAACTCCCCTGTCCTCAGGCATATCAGGAGACTGAAAGTGGACAAACACGCAGGGAGCTGGAATGCACAGCGACTACATGCTTTTGTGGCCAATTTGAAGTGCTCTGGAGGAGTGGGTGCTGCCTGTCTGCAAGAAACAGAAGCACTCTGAATGTGAAGAGCCCCAAACTGGAGTGGGATTTGGAATGCTTCAAATGCATGTCTGGCCATATCCTGAGTCAGCTCTCTTCATATACTTTTCAGAAAAGAAGGATCTTAATCCAGTGGTTTTGGCCAAAATTGTCATCCGGTGGTTACGAATTTTCTGCATCCGAGGTGGCAGTATGCACTGAATGGATTATTGTGGGTACTGAGTATGTTAAACAACTTGAAGTTCTTTGGGATAAAAAGACTTTGTAGATAAAAAATAGGCTCCCGTGAAAAGGATGCTAAAATAAGTGCAGTTAGTCACAGGAGAGTCGCCCTATCAGGGGATCTTCCTGGTAATGTCAAGCTAGTATAATGGTTTCTGTCCCACCCATAGGAGGCACTGCAAACAGCTTTCCTTATGACCCAGTTGTTCCAGTTTCTTTACTGACTGCTAGAAACCATTGGCAGGTAGTATAAAACAGTAGTGGCCTGACCTACAGCAAGGGATTAGCCTGGTACACTGCCAGCCCAGTACTACGGAAGGAAGGGGCACTGAACATGGTGCTGACACTGCACAGAGCCTGCGACTTAAACAGATACGACAGATACACACATCAGACCTATTTGAAAGCTCAGGTGCATAGGCAGTTCAGAAGAGAACTAAAGATATGCACAACAAAACAATGGTTTTTAAAGAAAGAAGGACCGATCACACACCTCACTCTCAATCTGAAACAGATCCCAACTCAATGAAATATTAATAGGTACTGGTGTACTGCACTCCCACAGCAGCAGCAAGATGGCAGCTCAAGAAGGAACTGCTGCTCCACAGATAAAAACACCCTCAAGCAAACCTTCTTTCATTAACTCTAATTTTTCAACCTCTGTATCTTTTGGAGACATAACTGAAGTAAAAAGAAACAAAGAAAAGTAAAGAAAAAAACCCCAAACAGGTAGACAACAACAGTAAATTGAACTCTCTCCCTAATGTATATGTCCCTGATGTTGTTCCATAAGCCTGAAAATAATTATGGAAAGCACATTTATATGTTGTTTACCAAACCCTGTAGGATCAGTGCTCTCTCTTTCAGTCCTTTTTTTTCTAATTTGGCAGACAAAAAAACTTTCTTGCCGCACTTGGTGTTCAGGGAGATCCTGAGATTTCAGCATAGTTATTCTGGAGCTAGGCGGGAGACTGTGGGTGGCTTGCTTGAACTTGTGCACTGAGACCAGATTCAAAATCCAGTCAGTGGAAAAATACCATTGATGTGGATCAAGTTCCAACATAGACAGTTTCAGATCATGTTGGAGAGCAGGAAATCCTTACGGGCCAGCCCGTGGTTGTACTATTAACTAATATAGCACAGCCAGCTGTGGCAGCCGCCACATCTGAATCCTGAAAGTAGGACTTAGTGACTGGAGCATCAGACGTAAAGGTAAGAGGTTAGGTACTATTCTGCCCTCTGCCACAGACTCCTGGTGTGACCTTGGGAAGGTCACTTTTTATCTTCCTTTCACAAACTGAGACACAGTGAAATGAATTACTACTTCATAAACACATTGTGAATGTGGATAAATGGCTAGGAGGCTTAAGTATTAAATGGTTATAATGTCTGGATGGTTAAATGATCTATCTAAGTACAACTGAAGAGGATGCTTGAGGTGTACCTATGGCAAACTGCACATTTCATTTTGAATGTGCCTTTGCTTCTATACAGAGTTAAAACCAGCACGAGGTTTGACCAGAGGCATTCTCAAGCTTGCCACGGAATTAACAAGGTGTGGATACTGAATTTTAATGATCATCCATAAAAATGGACAAACAAGTGTTTGGGAAGATGGGAAGAGAGGATTTGTGGTAACTAACCAACAGATCACCTGGTGGAGCTCTGGAGAAAAGCTGCATTTAAGTTATTGGTGAATCCGGGTAGATTAACAACAGTTATGGGTTAAGTGGACTATGAGGTCCCACTTCTGTGATTGGGTCAAATATAGAACGACAGCCTGTGCCTAGGAAGTCTGCCAAGTAGGCCAAGGAAAGAAAGAGTTCTGTAGTTTATTAAGACTCATGGGAAGAGTGTATAGCTCCAACATGATGGGAACTAATACACCACCTGGATATGCATCTAGTTGGGGGGATGCTAAGAAGTTATGACAAAAAGGGTTCTCAGATGAAAGATGCCACAAAAGTGCAGGTATTATCCAACCCAGTCCTTAATCATAAGAATCCCTTTAATATAACTGAAGCGCAATTACCAAGGCATATAGTAATTACATAGTGATGTTTCCTCCGCTGAGAAGCAGCCACAGTAACGTAACATTTGTAATGTATTGGTATTGCGCTTAACATTACAAGCGTTCTGAGCTTCCAAGACTACTATACATTGCCTGCTGGTGCATAATGCTCACATGGTAAACAAACCTAGGGGAAAACATAGCATTGACTGGCTCAGTGGTTTAATGCACCAATAATACCCTACTGAATAACCAGTTTGTCTTTTGCAACAGTATTTCATAAAAGAATTCTCAGATGTGGGTTTTTTCAGTTATAGCGCTTTCAGTTTAGTCACAGATTCAAAAAGTCTCGTTGCTTTCAAAATACCTTTCTGGATCTGGCCCAAAAGCAGGCCATGTGGTACCCATTTGTCCCAATGTCAATAAGTGTTATAATTAAGCCTATGATGGAGGGACAGAACCAATGCCCTCCCCAACATTCAGCCCAACAAAATCCTTCCCATTTGCCTATAGCTCTGCCTCTCCCATGGAAGCAGCAGCAGAGCAGCAACAGCAGAGTGGCCCAGCCAACCAAAGGCTCACTCATTGAGTCAGTGATCATGGGCCTCTTCCCACTCTCTCAGCAGCTCTTCTTGGGCTACAGGAATAGCTGGAGTAGAAGGCACTCAAAAATGAGTTTATTCTGCCTTTTGGCTTGATTTGTTATGAGTGACAATCTAGACTTAAAAGTGGAATCAGATGGGTGCTGCAGGCAGGTCACGTTTCAGTATGCAAGACTGGCAAGGCAATGTGGAGAGCCTTACTGACTGCATGCCAGCTATCCTATAGCAAGGGTTTGTCAGTCTCAACTTTTTAAGGTAAATTGGAAAATATGATTGCTGCAAAAAATCAAAAGTGAATATACAGAAAGAGAAGGTAAAGCTTTTGAGAAAAGATCTTACCCTTGCTACACCAGGTAAACCCAGCAGTATACTGGGATGGTCTGGGTTCTGCAGCACTGTTCCACTGTCCCAGATAATACTTAGTCTGGCGTTCAAGTTTCCTCTTTTCTTAATGGAGGCCTCAATCACCCCTACTCATTACTGTAGGGGTCACTCCTCTTCTTCAGGCCCCATACCATAGTTTCTTCTCCAGAAACTTTCTGTTTACTTCCACAGCCTCATCATTATTCCCCATTACAAAAACCAAAAAACCCAAATACCTGTAGGTTGTACACTAATGTATATAACCTACCACCTGCATGCCATCTATTTAACTGTACTTTTGATATGTTCCAAACTTAGCAGTATTACAGGCTACTTGAGGTTTGAAATATCTCAGATCCATTATGCAAACACGTACATGCAATTCAATCACCACCCTACTATCAAGACACTGGGTCTAGCAAAATAGAGCCTGAGTCATCTTTAAGGGAGGGAACAGAACCCCAGAGGGTAACTGGAAGACCAAGGCTGGAGCTGCAGGTGACTAAAGGTGGGAAGGCATGGGTTACAGGTGAGGACTCAAATGAAAAACATTCCTAATCCACATCCTTTTAACAGCTGGCAAATATGACTACCTATTCCTTCAAATATCCCTAACAACCTCCAGAACTGCAAAAGTTCCCTCACCTCGGGATATAGCCCCATTCCTTGATTTAAACTGCTACTGAAATTCTCTAAACCTAGGCTACATCCTTTCGTCTCCTAACTGCCACATTTTCTCTTCCCTAGCCATGAGATATTCTATCCTTTACTTCCTCCCTTTATACTATTCAGAAAGACAATAGAGTTTAAAAAGGGGGAGGGGAGATATTTTTATTGCCATAGCAGCATTCAAATTATATTCAAAGCAGAAAGATCTTGAGCCTGCTTTTAGAAACATTCAGCATGATTACAACAGTATCATTTTCATTTGCTTTCCTGGAATCAAATTTATGCAGAACAATATGGACTCAGTTCATACCACAAATCATTTTAGCTCCCCAATCCACTTCCTATTTGACCACGGTTTTCTTTTACATTCAAGATGGGCAACTTTCTCAAGATGCCTATGGGAAATCAAACTATATCCAACTTTCAACTGACCTACTTGATACAGCAAAGGCTTGCTCTACCAGGAAAAAGATAACTGTTCTTCTATTTTTTGGGTCCATCATGCAGTACTAATGCATAGTGTGAGTATCATTAACCTTGGGTTGTTTTCCTTCTATCACACAAAGCCACAAACATTAATTCATAGAAAATGCTGCAGGATGGAAAACTCAGATTTCACCATTTCATAAAATACCCTTCAGGGAAAACAAAGCAGAATTTCCTTAAAACTGTGGAAAAGGGCACTAAGGTGCCTGGATACTTTGGCCTCTATCAAACTGAAAGCTGCTATAGGAGATGCTGTGACAAAATTACGCGCACAGAAAACATCTACTAATTGCTCACCTTTTCTTCATTACCAGCACAATCCCCAGAAATATAATAACAAACAGCAAGATGCCTGCAATGACTCCAGCAATTTTAACGGTGTGGTCTGTCTGTTTCTCTGGTTCTGGGTCTGGTTTCCGAGTGGCAGCTCCTAGGAAAGGAGTGAATTGAAAGGAGGAGGGAGAAAAAGAAGAAAGACATTACACTTTTTATTTTGTTAAATTTAACAGTCAGTAGTCATAAGACTTACCAGAGCCAACAAATAGCAATGCTTAGATTTTTCTTTAACTGCATTCATATGTATAAAAAGGAATATCATTGTTCATAGTATTCCATAATATTTTGTTAAAGCACAATACAAGTTGGATACCCATGCCTAACCCTTCTATGAGAGCCTCTTCAGAGATACAATTTTCTATATTTTTATCTGTGCTGGCTCCCTGGTCTTCCTGCCATTTAAAAAAACTTGCTAACAACACAATAACTATCCTAAGCCTGTACCCAAATTTGATTTGTTGGAACATTTTCCTCAATTATTTTTCATAAATGAAGCAGTAATTCCACAACATATTAGCTTAAACACCTGGAAACGTGAGATAAGCTCATTTACCATGCATTTTACCAGCAATTGTTTTTTTACACAATAGACTTTTTTTTTTGCCTTTGGAAATCTAAATCTAGGTCACATCTGGTAGGCAAAAGACTCCTTCTAAGCAATTTATTCACAAAGTAGGAAGCAGCTGATGATCACACCACTGGCACCCACATTTAATATCTGTTTAAATGAGATAACCAGTGCCTTACAGCAGCTACTGTCTTAGCTTTTCCAGATTCCCCGTTTAAAAAAAAAAACAACCCACCATTTGAACTGTTTACTGCATAATGTGATGGAACGTCAAATCCATGTCTGATGAAATATCCATTTCCCCTACTAAATGAGTTCAGGATGAAAAATGTTAAAGGGAGTTATGTTCAATAAACTGAATGTATTTTTGAGGGCTTCTACCTTTTTAATCAAAACACTACAATATCCATCATTTGAAGCACCACGGCACCTTTACAAAGTGGACAGATAGTTCTAGCAATAGGAATTTGTATAGCAACTTTCTCTGGCAGATTTTTTAGGGAGAGGGGAAGGAAGGATAAAATCCAATTATACTATATCAGTTGAGGACCAGTACTCCCATCACACACACAAAGTTCTATCAAAGACTGTGAAAGCCCCAATTATAGTCTATTTCTCCTTCTATTTACTTTGTTGCAATAAATTTGCTGTGGTGATAAATTTGCATTGAGGCTATACTATCAAGAGAAGTAGGGATATATTTTCAAGCACCATAATCATATTGTAAAGGTTCTCTGTAGCCATCATCCTTCTCGGTTATGATAAGCCAGATTTTCAAAAGAAGTTAATCACTTACTTTGATGCCAAAATGTGAAATGAATTCTTTTGAAAATTCTAGCCATAGCCTCTGTATGAAGGACAACCTAGAGAAAGTTATTTGTTCTCTATGGGCCCAATTCTACCATGCTTATTCTGGCTAGTATCTTACTTATCAATTATTACCATATCAATACATGCCGATTCTTAAGTAATAAAAGGTATAACCTCAATACGAATAAGGGAAGCAGAATCTGGCTTTATATTTTTGGACACAGACCTGCATAAAATTTTGTTCTAAACGGATCCATTTTTAATTCCCCTGTGTCATATAAAGGATTTTTCTTATAAAAAATCTCCCTATTACTGTAATTTATACAGAACACAAAGTATGTTAGGTATTTAGGAGATACCTAGAATATCTTCCTAGTGCAGAAACACAGCTGTTGAGCTGAAATTGGCAGGTGGGAAACAGTAAATCAAGTGTGATGCAAATGACAACGGATGATATGGAGTTTGCAGTTCTATTTTAAATACACAACCCAGGCCCGGGGAAATGCAAATTCAACCAATAGCAAGCTCCAGGTTTTCAAATTTCATTTGAAAGATCTATATCCCTTCTCAAACTCTCATCTTCATGCTCTGCTCCATGCTGCCTTGTAGGCCTGGAACACCATTCAGCTTCTAGTGTGCAAGGTGAACACTGGCAGACAAGGTTCCTTGGGTGAATTTGATATCTTTTATTAGACCAACCCATATTTCCACGACCAAACTGAACCCACTCCCAACAACAACTCATCCTCTGACAACATTCAGGAAAGGATCAATGCCAAAAAGCCCCAAAAAACATCAGATTGGACACCTCACAGTGGACAAAACCCTAACCTTGACCGCTACATTGACTGCTTCAGGGAAAGAATGAACAATGAAATAATCAGCAATACACGCCACCATAACAACCTCTCTCTACCAGAGAAAAAGGCCATAGAATCTCTAAGATCTAACCACCAAATAGTAATAAAACCAGCAGACAAAGGAAGAGCCATAGTCATCCTAAACTGTGAGGATTACATAAAGGAAGCCAACAGACAGCTCTCTGACACCACGTACTACAAAGAACTACAAGAAGATCCTACTCCCCTTTTCACCAAAAAACTGAACAATACCATTAAATCATTTCATAGATGTTAGATGTTAGGGTCGGAAGGGACCTCAATAGATCATCGAGTCTGACCCCCTGCATAGGCAGGGAAAAGAGAGGGGGCTAAAAGAGCA